CGCTCTGATACCAAGTTGTAACGCCCTCAAAATTAAACCCATTATATATACATCATTGACATGCAATATTAAAAGAAAACAATTCATTATCCCATTCATCAGAGTATTATTAAATAAAAACATTACATGTAATACCAAATTAAATGCCCTACGGGCTTACATTTCTTTCCAAGCCAACACTTGGACACAAAAGTCTGAGTACTAACTCAACTACACATTAAGCCCTTGGCTTGAGTTTACATGTAATATCAAAATAAAACAAAATAACAACTAACTAAACAGAGTCTTCAACTCCAAATCCTCTCAAGCTAAGTCCTTGGTGGTAGCATATCACCTGGACCTGAAAATGATGTTCCCGTATAGGGTGAGCCACAGCCCAGCAGAAATATACTAAACCATATATAATAATTGACTAAAGCAATAGCATTCGATATATGGCTAACACTTATAAATCCATTATATCACTATACAGTTTCATGACAATAGTGTCCATGATTTGTTTCACTTTCCGTTATTATTCAACTTTCCAATCATACAGACATGGCTCAGAACCTGGCCAATCAATAATAATGAGACTACATCTCATATTAATATTACTTCCAATATCAACAATTCAAGTGAGACTAAGGCTCAAACTAAAGCACTTCCATAAATCGATAAGTACACATATTTGCTGTACCAAAACACTTCCAAAAATCAATAAGTACACATATTTGCTGTACTAGTGGAGTCCATCCCCTATCTTCCCTCAAACCATGGAGTACATCCCCTAACTCCTCCCAAATAATATGCATATACGATGTATTAAACACTTGTCATATACAATATTCAATCAATACACGTATTTGCTGTATTAATTCAACCGTCATATTCAATGACTTATTCAATGTGATTAGTTTTAGTTTTCCCTAATCAGCATGCAATGTCTACAACAATCACGACTATCCTCCACCGATAGCCCAAAGCATTTATTTCTAAATAGGAAATAAATGCATCAATAGATATAAACTCAACATTTTCATAGGTGAGTGATTAAATTATCCAACTACATCATTCAATCAATAAATTCCTCAATTCCATGAATTAAACTTAATTCCACATTTTTCCTAAAATTAATTATACAAATTAATTTATTACAACAATTAGAGTTTTTCCCAATTTCCTCAAAATCAACCCTAAGGTTAAATTTTTATCAATTTAATACTATCAATGTCATTTTTCATGACTTCCAAACACATGGAGTTTAATATATAAAAATTCCTTTTTTCTCAAATTATAAATCAAACCCTAAAAATTACCAAACGACACCAACATATCAAAATGACCAAAACTTAGGACAAAACCTATAATATGGAGTAGGGTATCTGTATGGGGGCGAAATATCCTCTACTTTCCGTACTTCCTGAACGTCAAGCTTCTCGTGACGGCGTCTATCTCTGTAACATAGAAATGGTGAGCTGCCCGACGGTGGTGTGCCAGATAGACCCTCCGACGATTAAGTCAGACCACTGAAGGAAGAAGAAGGCTACCAGAGAGGGAGAGAGTGCAAGTGATAGAGTGAATTTTCATACCTCTAACGTTCGCCTTTCTCCATATTTCTAGGCTGGCCATGCAGCCTCAAGATTGTGCGCGCACTACCTCTGCTGTCCTTCCTTGGACAGGTGGCAGTGCTCGCCTTTCACCACCTTCCGCGTGTAAAGGCTCAGTCCTCCCACCAGTACACGAAGAACTGTCCAACGGTACTGGCGCATGCCTGGAGGACTGAGCCTTTCACCACTATCTCTGTAACATAGAAATGGTGAGCTGCCCGACGGTGGTGTGCCAGATAGACCCTCCGACGATTAAGTCAGACCACTGAAGGAAGAAGAAGGCTACCAGAGAGGGAGAGAGTGCAAGTGATAGAGTGAATTTTCATACCTCTAACGTTCGCCTTTCTCCATATTTCTAGGCTGGCCATGCAGCCTCAAGATTGTGCGCGCACTACCTCTGCTGTCCTTCCTTGGACAGGTGGCAGTGCTCGCCTTTCACCACCTTCCGCGTGTAAAGGCTCAGTCCTCCCACCAGTACACGAAGAACTGTCCAACGGTACTGGCGCATGCCTGGAGGACTGAGCCTTTCACCACTATCTCTGTAACATAGAAATGGTGAGCTGCCCGACGGTGGTGTGCCAGATAGACCCTCCGACGATTAAGTCAGACCACTGAAGGAAGAAGAAGGCTACCAGAGAGGGAGAGAGTGCAAGTGATAGAGTGAATTTTCATACCTCTAACGTTCGCCTTTCTCCATATTTCTAGGCTGGCCATGCAGCCTCAAGATTGTGCGCGCACTACCTCTGCTGTCCTTCCTTGGACAGGTGGCAGTGCTCGCCTTTCACCACCTTCCGCGTGTAAAGGCTCAGTCCTCCCACCAGTACACGAAGAACTGTCCAACGGTACTGGCGCATGCCTGGAGGACTGAGCCTTTCACCACTATCTCTGTAACATAGAAATGGTGAGCTGCCCGACGGTGGTGTGCCAGATAGACCCTCCGACGATTAAGTCAGACCACTGAAGGAAGAAGAAGGCTACCAGAGAGGGAGAGAGTGCAAGTGATAGAGTGAATTTTCATACCTCTAACGTTCGCCTTTCTCCATATTTCTAGGCTGGCCATGCAGCCTCAAGATTGTGCGCGCACTACCTCTGCTGTCCTTCCTTGGACAGGTGGCAGTGCTCGCCTTTCACCACCTTCCGCGTGTAAAGGCTCAGTCCTCCCACCAGTACACGCAGAACTGTCCAACGGTACTGGCGCATGCTTGGAGCAGATTTCCTCTCCCTCACGCCATTGGCCCAGGTGGCACACTGAACCGGAGTACCACGACCGGCCTATCACTCGTGGAGGTTTGCCATCACATGCACACGACCGAGCTATGTGTCGCTGGCTTGTCCCTTGGCAAAGGGGCCAAAGAGCGATGCTCATGGCCGAGCTGATATTGACTGGTTCATTAGGCTAACCGGTTGCGAGGTATGCCGGCCTCCACCCATCCTACCTTCATTCTCGGTCACATGAAGCCCACTTATCACGGCTGATCGGTCAGAGGCGTGTCGGCCCTAACCCCGTCCATAGTCTAGCCCGGGCTACTTTAACTCGGTCGCCACACACCAGTGCCGCTCTGTCAAATGTAAGCGAGTCACTACTCGGTCAAGCCACAGCTTATGTCTGCCCGGCCGGTCTTCCCGACCGTGGCCATGGCCTATGCCTGCCCGGTCAATCCCCATCACCGTGCAAAACGGACCAGTAGACCGCATCAGTGGGAGGAATGGCATGACGCCGTGAAGTCTGTCACGACCCGCGCTATCGTAGCTCAGCCGTACTAACGGTGCAAATCTCCCCTCTCAATTGCCCCTTAATCCCATCCGAGCTATCGTGATTGTGATTATCCCTGTGACCGATTCGACGGACAGTGAGTTGCATCTTTTCCAAGCCGAGTATGGTTAGGGTCATATCTGTCGCCGAGCTATCCCATTTGGTCGGTCATTTCTTTAGCAATCTTGTCAAGCGTCGTACCACCGTACTGACAGACGCGTTTTCAGTGCCACGTGGCTCCCATCCATTGGGTCGTACAGCCCAGCCGTCCTTCACGCGCAGAATTCAAACGGCTGCGCCGTTTGGGTTTTTTCCCCCTTTTTATGTACAGCCCAAGAGTCATTCGAACCTATCATTGTCCATTCTCTCCTCCGAACAAACCCTAAACCTCCCAAACCTTCGAACCTCCAAGATCACTGTCATTACTGTCTCTGTGCTACATCCTCCATTTCAGTTCCTTTCGAAGGCTGCAATCAAGCTCTCGAAGTCGTGTTCACCCTCGCATCTGCCCCCTAGTAAGTTACACTATCCTTCCTTGCATTTTCTGTTTCTATTTCTCAAATTTTTTATATCTGTTCTTCATTTCCGTGCCACTGTGCTTCGTGTTTTTTTTTTTTTTTTTTTTTTTTTTTTTTTTTTTTTTTTTTTTTTTTTTTTTATGACCACCAATGCCCCCTTTACTTGCTTAGAACCTGTACACCCTTGGGCAAATGGGAACTTTGAGAATGGGAGGGGCCTCCGTGCCCCCTGTTCCTCCTTGGTTCAAACGAGTTCGCCCCATTTCTGGGATGAACAGTTTGAATCTGGGTAGAACCGAGCTAAACGCTCATTTAGATCAGTAGGTAGAGCTACAGTCGATCAAAAACTGGTTTGTGACTTCTCACTGAGGTCGCAACTGAGCTGAATACTCTATTAGATTGGTAAGCAGGAACGCACCGAGCTGTAACTTGAGGTCTCCTCTTCAAAGCATAACCGAGCTGAATACTCCATTCGATCCGCAAATAGGAGTGAACCGAGCTAGGAAATCGACCATGTAGTCTAGCCGAGATAGGGGTCAGGCCGGTAAAACACTAAAAATCCTTCACTGAGCTATCTCCAATAGGAGCTGTGGAATTTATGCCGCGCTAACCCTTAGCCTCATTTTTTAACAATGCAGAACAAACTAGGACCGATCGGTTTAGTCCAGAACCATCACTGGTGGAGCTCAAGGACCGAGCAAAACATTTTTGACCGAGATACAAGTAAACTCACCAAATAAAACCGAGATAGATGGGCAAGTACCGATTCATGGTGAGCTCGCCCGGTGCGATGGCCGAGTTTCGTAGGGAGTTCAACATTCCAGACGATGTCATTTTAGAGCTAGCCAAGAAGGGAGATAACCCCTGGGGCGACTTAGACCGGTGCCCCTTCACGGTCGTATCAATAGTAGAGGAAGGGCTCCGCTTCCCGGTTCAACCTTTGATCTGCGAATTTTTGAGGCAGACAAGGCTTTGCCCGACCCAAGTTTCAAATAACACTTACAAAATAATAAACGGGGTCGCCGAGCTGAACTGTAGGCTCGGTATAAATCTCGGTCTCGCAGAAATTTTTCATCAATATAGTCTTAGTAGGAATAAGAGTGGGCTTTGGTGGTACCTTAAAGTCAAGAAGGGCCGAGCAAAACTCATAGAGGGCAACCCGGACAAGGAGACCAATGACGACGACTTCTTGTGGGTGTCCGGTCGCTATGAGGACACCGAGGCACCCATATCGGGATGGTATGTTAGAAAGGATTTTGGCAGAGCGGGTGAGTTGCTCGGCTGACCGCGCTATTTTCTTTATGCATCAATTACTTTCCATGCCGATCTAACACTTGTCTTCTTTTTGCAGATAAGCACTTAGCAGCGGACTACCACCAGGCCAACCAAGAGGCCATCAGAAACCTGCTGTGCCATCCTACCGAGGAGAGGGGGGCTTCGAAACTACTCGGCTTCGAACAGACCTACCACTACACCGCACCGCGAAGGAGCCGGGTTATCGACTTTCTGCGTGCGCCGTCCCCAGAACCAAATCCAAACCTACCACCGATCAGGCTTGTTCCACTCACCGCCGAGCAAGAAGTGGCGAAAATCAGGGCCATCAAGTCCATGATCACCGGGGAAGAAGGCGAGTCCCAACCACCAGAGGCAACCAGGGGGATATCCTCCACACCCGCCGGGCAACAAGAAGGGGCAGTACTGGCCCTTGCCAGCGAGCAACCGGCTGGTCGGTCCAAGAAGCGGCCGAGGACGGAGCAAATCGGGCCACGTCTGGCAGACGAAGACTCTACCGAGCTCGGGGACCAGACCGATCAACCACAGACCGGAAAATCCAAGGGCCCAGCCGCCCCCCCGGTCTAGGCGCCCGAGTTCAAATACCAGGGCCGAGCAGGTTCTGCTGAAGACTCGGTCTACGCGGACAAGGACTACTCGCTTGGTTTCAATTTAACCAAGGGGTTGATCTTGCCTGCTGATATGAAAAAACACGACGAGCTTTCTGACCTCAAGGTCCTCTGCTCGGCGGCAAAATCGATAGTGCTGGTAAGTTCTCCATTCTTTGCTTCAAACTGTTTGCTCGGTTTTTGCTCAGTTTCTCGAATACTCACGATCTCTCGCTTATTTTCAGGCCGCGCAAAAGAACTATTTGGCCCACGATCGAATGATCAAAGTGCGGCAGAGTCTGCGTGAGGCCATCGCCGAGAATAAGGCCCAAAAGGCCGAGATAGCAAAACTCAAGGCCGCGCAAGGAGCAGTCGCGGCAGAGAGAGACATCCTGAGCCAAAAGGTCGACCGAGCTAACGAGGATAAACAACGAGCCGTGCAGTCGACGAAGGCTCGGTACCTTGCCGAGCTGAGAAAACTGTGTGATGCCAACAAGGTAGCCATGGACAAGGCGATCGAAGATACCGAGGACCGGGGATACGCTCAGGGTGAAAAGACTTACGAGCGCCAGGTCCAAGCGACCAAGGACATTTTTTTCCAGTGCGGTTGGAAAGTCGCCGTGGAAAAAGTTGGCCTTGGTTAGGACGCTGACATGTTCCTTAACCCCCCTGCAGCCCACATCTCGGTCTATATGTAGGCATACGCCAGTGCTACCCAGAACTGGCTTATCGCTGAGGCAAGGAAAGAGGCCGAGGAAGAAGCCGCCGCCGCACAACAAGCCGAGCAAACCACTACCGAAGCATCCCAAGATGCGGAAGATGAAGTGGCTGATCGAGAGGTTGCTGTGGAGGATGGAGCAGACGATGACGCCGAGGAAAACCTGCCCGAGCAGACAACTGAGATCGCCGAGCAGACAGTGGAGGCAGCTGAGCAAACCGTGGACCTTGAACTGGACTAAAGATCTTCCTTGTTTTGTTTTTGTTTTCTTGGTTTTTTGGATGTAACGGGCTATGTCCCCCATCTTGTACTGAAATTTCCTTTATCAATAAAAGTTTTCTACTTTTTGCTCGTTTAACTTCCATTTCTGTTCAGTTGGCATGTGCATAAATTCCTTGATTCAAACTGGTAGGTCGGCTTCACCGCGCACCAAACCGAGCTGAAATTAGAATTGCTCCACTTAAACTCACACCTTTTCCTGAGCTGAGCGTAAATCAGCTCGGTCGGAGCAACAATTAGCTCCGCCATTCTGGCTTTGGCAACGTTCTAAGTCTCGTTTTCCGGTGGGGCAAATTAGCTCGGTCCCAATAGGAAAGGGGAAATCACAAACATTTCATTTCCGCCGAGCAAAATCAGTTCGGCGTATATTGGAATCACCAATGTCCCAACGTGGCCGAGCAAAATCAGCTCGGCCTGGTGTTGGACAGGACGCCAACATTGCCTTCGTCCAAGCAAAACCAGCTTGGATCTTGTAAGTTGGGCAATTCACCAATGTTTCGATTTGTCCGAGCAAAATCAGCTCGGCTCATGGATTGGACAGAACGTCAATATTTCCACCTTCGAGCAAAGTCAGCTCGACTATCATTAGTTGGGCAATTCACCAACATATCGTTCGGCCGATCCAAGTCATCTCGGCCTTAACATTGGGTGAAACACCACTATTCCATTTAAGTTGGTCAGGACGCCAACACCTAGTTGGGCAAGCAAGATTCAGCTCGGCCCCTAAGCTAATTAGATAATACACCAATTACTTCGCAAGCCAATCTTCCCAACGGTTTGCGCGGTATGCCTCATGCCGACCAGAGAAAGTCAGTCCGGTTCCATTCAGATCGGTATATTTGCCCCTGGCATCTATTATAGCCCAGTACCCTCGCAGTGTCATTGTACAGAAAGGTGTAACACAAAACAAATAGAAGGGCTATTTTTCATTACAAGAAAATGTGCTATTTCTTACATCGAATGCCTCAAGGCTTACAATTCTAGCTAAGCAACAAAGGCAAATTACATCCTAAAAGTAAAAGATCTTAAGGTTGGCTGCATTCCATGGTCTGGGGACAGCCTTGCCATCTAAATCTTTCAGATGGTATGCCCCTTTACCAGCAAGACCAATCACCTTGTATAGACCTTCCTAATTTGCACCGAGCTTTCCTTCGCCAGGGACCACCGTATTGCCAAGCATCTTTCTTAAGACCCAGTCCCCAATCTTGAATAGCCTGGGGTGCACTGCCTTGTTGTATTTTTTGGATAGTTCTGTTGGTAAGCAGCAATGTGGATTAGCGCTCGCTCCCTCCTTTCCTCAGCGAGGTCAAGTTCCAATGCCACGGCTTCATTGTTTAGATCAGGCTGGAAACTTTCAGAGAGGATGGTTGGCATGCCGATTTCCAACGGGATGACGACCTCCATGCCGTAGGCCAAAGCGAATGGTGTTTCCCCGGTCGACCGTCTTGGGGTAGTGTGGTATGCCCAGAGCACATTAGGGAGTTCTTCAGCCTATTTGCCCTTAGCCTTCTCAAGTCGCTTCTTCAGCCCATCCAGGATGGTCTTGTTTGAGGCCTCTACTTGACCACTTGACTGAGGATAGGCTGGTGTCGAATTGTAGAACTCGATCTTCAACTCTTCGCAAAATTCGCGAAAGAGTTTACCATCAAATTGAGTGTCATTATCCGAGATGAGAGCCTTGGGTATACCGAAACGGGTGATGACGTTTTGCCATACAAACTTCTTTACGTCCTTTTCCTTTATGGTCGCTAGTGGCTCGGCCTCAACCCACTTGGTGAAATAGTCGGTGGCGGCGATGAAGAACTTGCGATTGCCCGGTGCAGCTGGGAGTGGCCCAACAATATCCAACCCCCAAAGCGCGAATGGCCAAGGACTTGTGAGAGGGAGCAAATCTCTAGTCGGCTGGTGGATCTGGTGGGCGAACTTCTGACACTTCTCGCACCTGCGAACATATTTTTGCGCATCTGCCTGCATGCACGGCCACCAATAACCCTAAGAAATCGCTCGGTAAGCCAAGGATCTACCCCCAGTATGGCTGCCGCAGATGCCTTCATGGATCTCGTAGAGAAAAGCTTCCACCTTGGCGGGGTGGACACACTTCAAATACGGCCCGGTAAAAGACTTCTTATACAAGGCCCCGGACGGGGAGAGCCAAAACCGCTCTGACTTTGCCCGGATCTTGTGGGCCGCCTTCTTTTCTTCCGGTAGAATTCTATCTTTCAGGAACGAGATGATAGGATCCATCCAAGAAGGACCTAAGTCGGTGCAAAGTACCTCGGTTACCTCCGGTTCCTCTATACTTGGCTGCGGTAAAAATTCGATCATCAAGGGATTGGGAAAGGCTGTCTGAGTAGAAGCGAGCCCGGCCAATTCATCAGCCGTGTTGTTTTCTTCGCGGTTGATTTGTTCCATCCTTATAGCGGCGAACTTCTTGATCTCCGCACGTACCAGCGCCTGATACTTGGCCATTCTTTCATCCCTGGCTTCATACTCCCCTGAGACCTGATTGACCACCAACTTGGAATCACTGAATACCATAAGGGCTATGGCTTTCATTCTTAGCGCGCTTTTTAGTTCGGTAAGGAGGGCTTCATACTCAGCCTCATTGTTGGATGCTGGGAAGCCAAGTGTAATTGCCTGCTCGATGATTAGCCCGTCCGATGAGGTCAGCACGATGCCCAGCCCGACCCCATGCCTGTTGGATGCCCCATCGACGAAGAGCTTCCATATCTCTCCAATGAACAGCTTCCAGCAATCAGATGGGTTCTGGGAGGTTCTCAGTGCCAAGTCTCTGGTCGGCCCATTCTGGTCTTTTTCCTTGTCTTGGTTGGGTACATCTTCGCCGGACTTTGTTAGCTCGGTCGTGCTTTGCCCTTCCTCCTTTTGCGCACCAACACTAGTCCCTATCGCCTGAACCATGGGTTGTGCTGAATCCACACCGGCCAAGTCAACCGGACAAACCGGATGGGTTCCAGGGGCAAATTCCGCTACAAAATCTGCAAGAGCTTGCACCTTGATCGCGGTACGCGGGCGGAACTTGATGTCGTACTGTCCCAATTCTACAACCCATTTCAGAATCCTCCCAGTGAAGTCTGCCTTTTTGAAGAGCACCTTTAGTGGAAACTCGGTTAGCACAACTATTGTATGGGCATGAAAGTAGTGTGCCAGCTTTCTGGAAGCCATCATCAAGGCCAGCGCTAATTGTTCAAGTGGAAGGTATCTCGTCTCAGCTGGGAGCAGCGTCTTGCTCACGTAGAAGATTGGTAGGTGCTAGATGCCTTCTGCACGAACCAATACCTCGCTCACGGCGTGTTGAGAGACAGCCAAGTAGAGACATAACTCTTCACCCGGCTGAGGTGTGACCAAGATAGGGGCCGAGGAGAGGTACACTTTGAGGTCCACCAGTGCGCGGTCACACTCGTCATCCCAGAAGAATTTGGTCTTCAAAGCTTTGAAGAAGGGCCTGCAACGATCTGGAGACCGGCTGATAAATCTGTTCAGCGCGGCTGCCATCCCGGCAAGATGTTGCACGTCCTTCGTGGAGTTAGGACGCTCCAACTCTCGTATTGCCTTGATTTATGATGGGTCGGCTTCGATTCCCCGGTTTGTAACCAGAAAACCCAAGAACTTCCCAGTGCCAACTCCGAAGGCGCATTTGGAGGCGTTCAGACGAAGCTTGTGATGCTTTAGGATGGCAAACATTTCTGCTAGGTCGGCGAGGTGTTGAGACTTCTCCCTACTCTTCACCACTATGTCGTCGATATAGGCCTCCATTGTTCGGCCCAAAAGAGGAGCGAACATCTTTGTTACCATCCTCTGAAAAGTCGCCCCGGCGTTCTTCAGTCTGAACGGCATGACTTTGTAACAATATAAGCCCCTGGGAATAGTGAACGATGTGATCTCTCGATCCGGTCTATACATAGCTATTTGGTGGTAGCCGCGATATGCGTCCAGGAAGCTAAACCTCTGATGGCTAGCGGTTAAGTCCACCAGTTGGTCAATTCGAGGGAGGGGAAAGCTACCCTTTGGGCGAGCACGATTGACAGTCTTGTAGTCAACGCAGACCCGCCACTTGCCGTTCTTCTTTGGAACCACCACCATGTTGGATATCCATCGAGGGTATTGCACTTCTTCTATGGCCCTAGCTTCCAACAGGTTCTTCACCTCTTCCGCTACCACCTCAGCATGGTGCAAGGTTGAGCGGCGTGTCCTTTGGATGACGGGCCGTGCATCAGGGAAGACATTCAACTGATGGCAAATGAAGCTTGGGTCAACGCCAGGCATATCGTAAGGCGTCCACGCAAAGGCCTCCAAATTAGAAGTTAAGAATTTGACGTAATCTAACCGCTCAGTGCTCGACAAAGATGATCCCAAGAGGAAGAACTTAGTCGGGTCATCCTCGTCGATGCGCACTTCAACCAAATCCTCTACCGATTTTTCCTCGGCCTTCCTTTCTACGTCTTCAAGGACCTCCTTCCCTTTGGGCCCCTCAATCATCTGGACGAACCCTTTTGCTGCTCGGCCGCCATTTACTGCAACGAAGCATTGTTTTGCCATCACCTGGCCTCCCCAAACCTCCTCTATTTGTCCGCTTGGTACCGGAAAGCGCATGACTTGGTGGAAGGTCGAAGCAATTGCTTGCATGGCGTGCAGCCAGCCCCTGCCTAAGATCAAGTTGTAAGTCGATGGAACTTTGAGCACCCAGAATTCTACTTGCTTTACGACCGATCCCGCTTTGACCGGCAAAATAATCTTTCTCATTGGCTATTTTGGCTGTGAGTTGAAGCCGACCAAAAGGGACGTTGCGGGGGCCAAGTCCTTGTCTTCCAACTTCATTTGTTTAAACGCGTCATAATACATAATTTCTACCGAACTCCCCTGGTCGATCAAGATTCTCTTGATGTCAAAGTCTTTGACGCGAAGAGTGACTACTAAAGCATCATTGTGCGGCATCTGAACTCT